CCTTCCATATGTCTTCTGTTTGGGCTGTTTTGTCCAACTTTAATGTAAATATTAGTAAATATTAGTAAATAAAAAATAAAAAAATCAAAATCAATACATTCTGACCCATTTCCATCTCCCTACATCAGGGGTCAGGTGCCGGGCAGGAACACAGATACATGGTGACTTTGTATTGATATCTGACAGCTGATGAGATTGAGACAGACATTCAAATACACATGACCTTTGACCCACACAAGGTGGCATAACAGACAGAACTGGCCACTTTCATGGAATTGACAGTGAGAGACGAACAAACTGAGAATTATTTTAAGTTCTTCAAACTTTTAAGGTCAGACCTGATGAGCTCTGGTACTGACTCAGTCACAGAAGAACGTTTCTCTACTCCGTAAACACACCCAGGAGCAGGCTCCATTCACATACCTACGGGATTTGTTATAGTTGTAGGTAGGCCTGTTACGATTACACATTTTTATGGATGATAAATTGTCTCTGAAATTGTTTTTGTAACTTTAAAAAAAAAAAAAAAATTAAAATAGGAACTAGGTGTCCCTTACTTATTGGTTTTGCCTTAAATTGATCATATATTTAACTTTTTTTTTCTTTTCTTAAGAAAGAACTCTCCTCCTACAAAAAATTCTGCTGAGATATTAAAAAGGTATCGAGTATTTTTCTTAGAATTCGTATGGAGTTTGAAACCTGGTAGCCACAGCTGCTGTCATGTGTTAGCCGGTGGTTACAAAACTAGGACAGTGAAAATACTTTTGCACTGCAGCGCATGCAGAGGGTGGGTGTGACTGAGGAGGCTGGTAGAGATACTCAGAGACGGAGGCAGAGGAGAACTGTGACTTCCTTATTAACACCAAGACTCATTCTTTATTTTCCCTATAAATAATTTGTATACAAACATTAAATATCACATGTCTATCTATGCCTAAAGCTGTCGGTTCAGTATTTTTTGCTCTTCAATGAAAATCTCTTCATATCCGAGTATTTTTTGTGTCATTTCTTCCTTCCTTTCTGCTGGTAGCAACCTGCTAATCGAGGCCACAGATGCTTTGTTTGCTCCTGCCTCCCACTCTGAAACAGGCCCCTGACATAACACAATAAGAGGAGCAATAAAAATTCTTGCTGTAAATGTGCATCCTGCAAAAAAAAAAAAAAAAAAAAAAAAATTGTTATGAAGCAGCCTGTAGCATGTTGTCGCCCTCAGGTCTCTTGTGGACGTACCCTGACGTTGACGGGAATGGTGTGTGTTTGCTTTAGCATTTCATGGTGCTTGCTGTAGCAGTTCTAGCTGCTGTATTATGTAATGGATGAGGCTTGTTTATGCTACAGTGGATGCAGAGCCACTGAGCAGCAGCAGCAGAGGAGGAACACAGGAATTATTCTGAGTGATAAAACAGTAAACGATGCTGGATCGTGGTCTGAGTGGAAATAAGTTGTGATAACCTTTTGTGATCACTTATATGAAGCAATTGGGTTATTGTGTAAGCGTGTGTATATGTGTCTGTGTGAGAGAGAGAAGGTCCATAGTCAGCAGGTTATGTAACGGAGCAGTGTGAGCCTATGAGCTACAGATACCATGAGGTCATAGAGAACAGGCTAGATGAGGCCAGCATTCATTTACACTATGTTGTCTTTTCACTCGGATGCTTTGTCCACCTCCACTGAAAGCGCTGAGACAAAAGACAGGCTTTGCATTCAGCAGCAAGCCGATGATTGTTTCGACCCTTTGACTCCTTTGTTTGCTGTCTGGTTTCCAGTCAAACAACAAATGTTTCTTATTAGAACCGAGGACAGACAGCTTTCACCCTCAGGTCCCTCATTCCTTCAATAATTATGTTTACAGTATCTGGCAGAAGTGCTCACATTCTGTCATGTTACAGCCACAAATTTATAGTATGTTAATCTCTCACCGGACTCAAACACTCGCCTTCATGATGCACCTTGTGTTTTTGCTGTTGACTTGATCAGTGTTGATGACTGATGTCCCTGTGTGATATCTAGTGTCAGTATTTGTCAGTAATCCATCCGACTTTCAATCCATGTAGTTTGTAACACCAAGAAATATAATAAATAAATATTCATTAAAAGTAAAACAATGAGTACATGTCTCCTGTGTTTGGCAGGGAGTTTCTCTGTGTGTACATCAACAATGAATTACTATTTGTTTTATAGTTTTAACAAATGGTGATATTTTTATATCAAAAACTGAGTTTTTATTATCTTGAAGGGGCAGTGTTATGTAAACTTGACTTTCTTGAGCTTTACATCACGTTATGTTATTGCCTCATTAAAAATACACCTAAACTGTTGCTTTGGTTCATCATGTTTGAGAAATCCTTTAATCTTCCATGGCAACCATTCAGCTGCGCAAAACACCTGGGTGGATTTAACCTCGCCTTCGAGGCTCAGCTCCTCCTCAGAGCTGCAGTTTCCAAATTTTCAAGCTTCTGCTTCACAATTTCAAGACATTAAATTACCAAGTGAATTTTCCTTTAAGTCATATTTGATATATATGAAGCTAGTGTATAACAACTGAAGGTAACATGGTTGCTTGATTATGCTGTAAAATGGCTCACTGTGCCTGGAAAGTACATAATTTTGCCGCTTTTTGACATAATTTTAAAAATGATAGCACTAAATAGTTGCTGCAGATAAATTGGTTGCACACCATGGTGTCAACGTCCTGGTCCCTGAGGTCATGTGTTGGACTGAATACAAAATGCAAAGTAAGCAACAAAAGTTGCGCATGCTAAAGTGATGCTGAACGTCCAGTTTGAATCTGGATTTTGGTGCGCTACTGGGTGTCATCATGCAGAGTGTCAGAGAGCAGCGCAGCCCAAAGACCAACATGCAGCTCTTAAAAACCAAAATGGAAATGTTTTTGATTATAAAAGCAATAGGAAAATGTGATTTCAGCAGTTCTTCTATGTGTTTTATGGAATATCTTCATTGATTAGTTACAACAGAAGGGCACCAGTGGTGCAAGGCTTTTAGAAAGAATCTCACATTGTTGTTTTTCCACTCCAGTCTATCTGGTTTATATTTTTAAGAGGGTTGAATGTCTTCTTTTTTTTTTTTTTTTACATATTTATCTAAATGACACAAATGTACAGAAAGTAGAATTCAAGAATAAACTAACAAAGCTAGACAGATTAGAACTAGCAAGAAATGAACTAACAGTGATAAAACTAAGAAATAATAAGAGAGAAAATGAACAGAACTGTAGAACATCAGCATACCCAGAAGTAAAACCATCAGACAAAGACAAAACAAGACATAGACCCTCATGGCTGTGACACACTTATGTGAAGTCCATTTTATGAGCTTTTTAGCTGTCTGCCTTTTTGTACTGCAGTTATTTTCATCAAACTTAACAAATATTTTCACAGGAAATGAAGGTAGGAGGCAGAGCTAGGACCACTTAGATCTTCCTGAGAAAAGTGCTTTTGAGTCTGAGTATGTGCCTGATAGAAAAGAAAGGCAGTGTAAAGTCAATAAGATAGCACCCAAATTTATATATTCTTTATTTTTTCCTTTTTCACTTTCATATCACATTTAGGCTGTCCAAAATTTCTTTATGTTACTTCTATAGTGTGAGTTTCTCACAGGAAGATCACCACCTCCTGCCTCACGTTCCTGTGTAAATGTAATGTTTGTTTAAAAATCCTCCCTATAAAAGACTCAAATTTAGTTGGAAAGGATTGAATGAAATATTTGGGTTTGGTGGAAGAAAAGAAGGCTAAGTATATCTAATTATTTGTGCATAGAATTTCCTTAGAGGTGAAATGTAATTCTAATACACTAATTCCAACATTACATATCTGGCTTGTGTTTAGATGGAGTAGGTAAATCTGCATCCCTAAATAAATAATGCTCCAACTCCATACTCCTTTGTGATGGGTCACAGCAAGTAGGAACAAGTCTACTTGGGGTGTTTTACAGATTCTGAAAGTGTAGATTCTAAGCCTTCCAGTGATGTCAAACACATGGAAATAAAAAACTAAATGAAGATGACATGGCCATGTGAATGTTGGCACCCTGAATTCTAAAATTCTGAGAAAATGGTGTCAAATTTGGACACTGTAACACAATTCTATCACCATTGAAGTTTTTGATATGTTCAAATGTTCCAATGGATTAGTATCACAATTCTGTGACACCCTATATATAATATTAAATATACACATGCACATCAACTTCATAATCAACACAAGAGCTCTCAAACAAACCTTCCATGACTCATTACCAACACTAACCAGTCTCATGCTACATCATGCAGACACTCATTCTGCACATATAAAGATTCAACTCCTCTTAGTATGATGAATGGCCAGATTGTCTCTAACTTATATACCTACTTTCTGACTAATTCTGCTAAAAATGATTTGACCACTTGGAGGCACTCAGAGAATGAGCATGTAAGGCACTGAGCTTTCTCCAGATCATTCAGCATGAATATAACATAAAATGATATATGTTATTCTAAATTAAAACAAGCTCAATTTCCATTTGCTTGATTTATTATTTTTCTCTTTTCTCTCTTTCTACTAAAAACTGGACGACTAAAGTCTTCAGTCTGGTGTTTTGGTCTCAACTAACCCTTTTTGTGAAGGACAATTTTGTTTAAAGATATTTCATTATTCATTTAATCTGTTTTTCATTTATTTTGGATATTTACAGTGCCTTACAGTTCTAGTGTTAACTGTTCATTAGAATTTAAGGTTTACTGATATTTCACAATGTGTTCTTGCATTATTATGCCATTATCATTATATTACTTGAAAATGGTCTCAAAACAACAATATTATTGTTTATCACCATAACTTCTGGGACAATTTATTGTCCAGCAAAATTTGTTATCGTGACAGGCCTATTGATGGCATTGCGAAAGTAACCTACTCTGTCCTGACAGACACAACTATGTGAATTTGACCATTTGTATTAACTGCCTACAGACAGAAGGCCTGACTGTATTTCCCTTTCTCCTGCAGGTTCCCAATGTTGAACATGTCCACCCCCAGTGAGCTGAAGTCTCCCTGCATGACTCGCAATGGTATGGTGAAGTTGCCCCCCAGCCAGCCCAACGGTCTGGGCAGTGCGAGTATCACCAAGGGGACGCCTGCTGCTAAGAACCGCCTATGCCAGTCCTCCTCTGTGCCCTCCATCTTGCCTCCTCCGCCGTCCTCTCTTCCTTATCATCACCATCTGCATCACTTGGACAACCCCGGGATGCCTCATACCACAGCACCTCTCTTGCCCTCTGACCTTGAGCCAGGGAAGCCTCTGGTGGGGCTCAAGCCATCTCTTCGTCAGCTTCCCCCCCTCACTTTGCCCAAACCCATACTACTGGAGCGTCAGCTGGTCCTGGATGAGAAGCTCCTCAACCGACTACTCTGGTACTTCACCACGGCAGAAAAATGTGTGCTGGCACAAGTATGCAAGACATGGCGCAAGGTGCTGTACCAGCCCAAGTTCTGGGAGGGGGTGACGCCCATCTTGCATGCCAAGGAGCTTTATAACATACTACCCAATGGGGAGAAGGAGTTTGTCAGTCTGCAGGCCTTTGCTCTGCGGGGCTTCCAGTCGTTCTGCTTAGTGGGGGTTTCGGACCTCGACATCTGTGAGTTTATCGACAACTACCCACTGTCCAAGAAGGGGGTTCGTTCTCTCAGCCTCAAGAGGTCAACCATCACAGACGCTGGTTTGGAGGTAAGCTTGTTCTTGATGTTCTCTAATAATGACATCATTGTCATTATCAGTGTTTAAACTCTTCAGTAATATTGAAACTCTTCTCAGGTATGAGTGATATCTCTCTCTCTCTCTGTATTATACACACACACACAGAGTATGTCTGTCCATCTACACAAGATCTTTGTATTCATTCCACTAATATTACATGAATTTCTATAGACTAATCCTGACCCCAACCTAAACTCAATTCACACCTCAGTCCTAAACCTGACCCCAAACTCAAAAACAGAACATCTTATGATTCCCGGGCTTTGGGCCCAATAGTAGCAGCCGGTCCCCACAACGTTGTATGTTTTAGGAAAATGGTCCTTAAAATGTAGCAAATACAAGACCACACACACTTTTATCATGCATAATTTTTTTCCTTAATTCTTCTTTTTTCTGCTGGCAGTGTCTGATCTGCTGTTTGTGAATTGTGCAGCTGTCTCATACTGACTGCACTCTGCTCTTTTTTCCAGCTGGCAGATAGATTTTTGTTTTACATTTGTTGAAAGCTAACTTAGTGTTTTCAGAAAGTATAAGGACAGATTAACCGAGATATCAAAGAAAAGATCAAAGCTCCATAGAGTGAGCCAGCCTGGGTGTAATGAAATATTGTGGTATGAGATTTTGAAAATTAGAAAGTCACAATATTATTTTGTGAAAGTGTAACCTGCCTTGCTATTGAAATGCTATCCAGTGGTGGTCAGTATGTGACTGTCTGATGAAGGAAGGCCACCTTCTTGAGTCACTGCTGAGTTTCACTGGTTTGTAGACAGAAGCTGTGTTTCCATTTGCCATAGAATTGCTCATGTTGAAATTACCTAAATAAATTAGCTTGATGGAAATACGTCAATTTGGAACAAATTCACATTTTTGATCAGAGGTTTTTGTGCTAGGATGAGGTGTTTTTTCAGCCGTACTGAAATAGATGTTTTTCGCAAAACTGAAATGGAAATTTTTTTTTTCACATCACATGATGCATCACATGTGATCAACACCAGAATGTTACTGCTGGCGAAAACCACGAAGAAGACGATATCATAGAAGGATGATGTTTTTTTTTTTTTTTTTTTTTGGGGACAATGAAGCTTCTTATAAGGAATTACTAAGCTTCCTAAACTAAAATGATATTTTTTAAACTTTTTAATGAGTCTGGCTGAAATGTGACCATTCCCACTGAAAATCTAACGCACATAGACGGATCAGTCTGAAACGGGATAATTCTGCACTGAACAGTCATTTTTAAAACACGGTTGGAGATTTATGAAACCTTTGTTTGTCAAAACCCAAAAACAAAACACTTAAATCGTTTTATTGGCTTTAATTTATCATTTGAATTAGTGGTTTAAAATCCCAGGTAATGATTTGCAAAACCTGCGTAGGGTCTCTTGGTTTTCCCAGAACGTTGGTCTCATTCTAGTGTCGTGTCCAGTGAGCTAAATGTGTTGTTAGATACTGTGTGAACTTCTTGCTATGAAAACACTTCTTTCAGATCACAGGAGCCCTACATTTTAGGGCTAGTGTAGTTTCAACTTTTAGCTGTGCTGCGTGTGAAGCAGGACTCCTGCTCATGTCAGCAGATTTTTTTTTCTTTACCAAAGCAGAAGGGCAGATGTCACTAAAATGAGTCAGCATGAATTTTTGTTCTCATAAACATTTTTATATTGCTTCATTGTTGTGATCTTTACTGTCAGATTTCATTGCAGAGAACAAAAGCACATCATGCTTTGAAAAAATCCTCTCAGATGGCTCTCCATACGTAATGTTCTAGGTTTCTATTCTAGGATAAGTGAGTGGTTGCCATGGAGAAGGCTGGATTTGTTGGCAGTGTTATCTATATATGGACATTCCTGTTTTTATGTGTTTTTCTTTTTGTCTTTTGGTGAAAAGCTTGAACTTCTGGATCATCAGATAAAATTTTCTGTAAATTATATAAATTGATTATTTCAACGTCCCTCAAAGTATCTCCCTGGTGGAGCTGAAAGGTACATTTTAGAAGGTAGATAATCTCAAATGCACTAGTGCATAAGAAATGGCATTTAGCTTTAGTGATGACACTCTGCTGAGGAAAATCAGTTGCATCCTGACTGCTCCCATAGGAAAAGCAGTCAGCAGGTGCTGTGAAAAAAAAGCAGCAGATTCAAAAATAATTGGGAAGTGAGATTTTCTTTATAACAGTTTGTTGGTCTGAAGCTTATAGGTGTGTATTAAGGACTTTATGATGACATCCAGAAGCAGCTGCTGCTCCCCTTCAGTCTAAGGAGGATTATACAGAGGAATGTTCTTGATCAGGACTCAGTATTCCTGATACTGATCAGTCATTTAGGAATAGGTGTGTGCCAACATCAGCTCCCAGTTGCAGTGCATCCAGAAATTATTCACAGCACTTCACTTTTTCCACATCTTTCTGCCTTATTCCAGATTATATTGAGAGTATATATTTCCTCAAAATTCAAACAAATACCCCCCATAATCTCAAAAAGACTGGAAGAAGTCTTTTTGTGAAAGGATAATCTCCACAGTATTCACAGCCTTTGCTTAATATGCCACCTGTGGCAGCAGTTCCAGCCTCTGGCTTTGTTGAATCTGACTGGTGGATTGCTGCAGAGATGGTTGGTCCTGCTGGAAGGTTCTCCTCTCTCCACAGAGGAACGCTGCAGCTCTGACAGAGTGGCCATCGGTTTCTTGGTCACCTCCCTGACTGAAGCCTTTCTCCCCCAGTGGCTCAGTTCAGACGGCTGGCAGCTCTGAGTCCTGCTGGTTCCAAACCATGATGCAGGCCACTGAGCGCTCTGCTTTAAGGCAGCAGAAATGTTTCTGGATCCTTCCCCACATTTGTTCATCAACATAATCCTGTCTCTGAGGTGTACAGATAATTCCTTTGATTTCATGCTTGGTGTTTGACCTCTGACCTGCACTGTCATCCGTGGTACCTTATATAGACAGGTGTGTTCTTTTCCAAATCAAGTCCAATCAACAGAATTTACCACAGGTGGACTTTACATAAGAACTCAGGAATGGTCAGTGGAAAAAGCTCAATTCTGAGTTTCATGGCAAAGGGTCGAATACTTATGTAAATTTGAGTTGTTGGTTTTCTATGTTTAGTCAAATTTGCAAAAATATCAAAAACATTTTTCCACATTGTCATTTGGTGGTTTCCAAATAGTTTGGTAGCTACAAAGCACTTCATTATTACATGGTCTTTATGCTTTATGATTGTGCTGCACTGAACTCACTCACAGCTGTGGCCATTTGTCCTGACTCTGTCTGACACTGCTAGGTAGATTCATCTTTAATAAATTCATCTTCTTTGCTTTTTTGTGGAGCAGTTCGCTGAAGTGCTTTGATAGTGTTGCCCTGTCTCTGCTGTGATTTGACGCATCTAATTAAGTCATTCATTTGCAGAAATCTTAAGAGGAATCTGAACTATAGTCAAAATTGCTGCTCTGGGCATTTTTAAGTTACTTTAGGCTAGTTATTTTATTTCAGTATATCTACAGTTTAATAATTTGCACTACTTAAATCTATGTATCGTTTATCTAAAAATCTGCTTAATATATCTTGAATTATTGTGTGATTCAAGACATCTTTAACTGGGATTATGAAAAGTCAGAACAAAAAGTGAGATATCTCAGATTTATTCTATGACTAGTCATCATTTATTTGTTGATATGTGAAATATGTGTTTCAGATAGTAATTTGTTGTAGATATCTTAAATTCATCATAATCAGCAACAACTAATAAAGACACAAATATATAATAATAATATTTTTTAAAACTACAAAATCACATAAAAAGATGATCTTATCATATTTTCAGTAATAGAAAATATTTTTTTCTTTTAGCTTAATTTAACTGAAGAAAATATATTTTAATAGTAACTAATCACTATTCTAAAGAAAAGTGATTAATCTGTATGTTGTACTGTAATGTTTTAACTGTTTCAGTATCAAAAAATCTTTGCAGAAGAAAATAAAATTGAAACTTACACAAAAATGGTAAATTTGGTGAAATTTCTACCAGTCAGAATGTATTTAGAGATATAAATACGTATATTGTGTAGTCGAAATATAATTAGAGATATCTTAATTTACTGATAGGTATTAGACCTAATACCTATTACACAAACCAGTTTCAGATATCTGGAATGTAATTATGGTGAAACCAATTGCATGTTAAAACCTCCTGTCATTTACAGACAGGTTACAGATAAATAAATACATAATCAGGACGACCTATAATAAGTTTTGCAAACATGCAACCAAACCTCTGATGAGCTTCAACCCCAGAAAGAAAGGGCTGCAGTGTTAACACTTTACTATCATTACAACCATAGAAAGAATATAGCATTTACAGTTACAGTTATGAGTTGAAGATATCCATTTTATGACATTCTTCTGCTTACATGGCTCAGCTGTGCTGCGTATCAGTGTCTCAGCCATGATGCCGGATGTGTTGACCTTTATTTTGCAGGTCATGTTGGAGCAAATGCAGGGCCTGATGCACCTGGAGCTGTCAGGCTGCAACGACTTCACAGAAGCTGGCCTGTGGTCCAGTCTCAATGCCAGGCTAACTTCCCTCAGCGTCAGTGACTGCATCAATGTGGCGGATGACGCCATCGCTGCTATTTCCCAGCTCCTGCCCAACCTATCAGAGCTGAGCCTGCAGGCCTACCACGTCACTGACACGGCCATGGCCTATTTCACAGCCAAACAGGTAGCCTGTCAAAACAAGAGCGTCACACCTCGCTGTCTGCGTTCACTTACTGTTCCCTTACTTTTTTGGGGAGGAATGAGAGAAAACAAAGCTAAACATCCCGCTCCGGCTTGGTCATTTCTCTCCTGATTAAGTTACATAACCAGAATGAAAATGTGTTCACAGGGCTACACCACCCACACTCTACGGCTCCAGTCCTGCTGGGAGATCACCAACCACGGCGTGGTAAACATGGTGCACAGCCTGCCCAACCTGACCGCCCTGAGCCTCTCAGGCTGCTCCAAGATCACAGACGACGGCGTGGAGCTGGTGGCCGAGAACCTCCGAAAGCTCCGCAGCCTGGACCTGTCCTGGTGCCCCCGGATCACAGACATGGCCCTGGAGTATATCGCCTGCGACCTGCACAAACTGGAGGAGCTGGTGCTAGACAGGTCAGGGAGTTTGGGGTCTTTTGTGCTTTTATCCACATAAAAGAAGTCAGAACCTGAACTCAAGTCAAACATGAAGACATCAGTTTTCATTTTAGTCTTTAACGAACTTTTTTTTTTTTTTTTTTTTTTTACAGGCATCTTAAGTTATATTGTAAAAAAAAAAAAGTAATTATAAACATTGTACATTGCTCTGCACAGGTATTCATGCCCCTTGATTATTGGAAAGTGCATTATTTTTTAAATATAAATCAGAAAATCTGAAAACCTGATTACCCTTTCACATTTTAAAGAGCCGGTATTCTGTAAAAAAAAAAAAAAAAAAAAAATCAACTTTTTTGAGCCGAAGCTTCCAGATAGCCAAGAAGGACCAAAGTCAACACAGCCTTCTGACTGAAAATATCTCCAATCTCAAAAACATTATGATGGCTGTTAAAAAGTAAAGTCATGTAAAAAGCAAAAAAATAAATAAATCAGTTAAATCAATTTAAACTCAAACTGTTAGCAAAGCTCTTCCAGTTGACTTGCAGTGATGATGATGTGTTGTGTTTCTCTGCAGGTGTGTGCGAATCACTGACACGGGGCTGGGCTACCTGTCCACCATGTCCTCACTAAGAAGCCTTTATCTGCGCTGGTGTTGTCAGGTAATGCAAAGCAGGAAGTGGAACAAAACAAGAAAGAAATTACAAAACGCAAAGCCGACCACTGGAGATGTTCTCAGGCCTGCATTGTGAACAGCAGCCTGTACTTACCGTGGTTACAGGGTGATAACACAACATGGTGCTACATTTGTAAACAGGACATTTGGGAAAATATGTAGGTAAAAAACTGGTAAGCATAAAAAAAGTCATTATATGGCTTTAGAGTCATAACATTGTTGTGCATTTTTCATAAGAAATTGTACAACCTGTAGATAAATGTTAGTTTATCATAACAAGCCTCCACTTATTACCATCATTATTAATTTTTATAGCCATTTATTTAGGCTATAAATAAATGGCTATTTATATATAATTCTCACAAGAATTATATAATTCTTGTAAGAATTATATAAGATAATTCTCACAAGAATTATCTTATATATGACCTCTAGTTTATTAAACAAACCCTTCTGTCTTCATTTGTTTCTTTAGTTTCATGCTAAAGAGTCACAAAGGAAAAGTTTAGATTAAAAAAAAAAAAAAGATCTTTATGTACCACTTTCAGCTTCAGTGCATCACAATGGATTCACACATCTTGGAACTTTTCCACATCTTGTCAGTTTGCTCCCACAAACTTTAATGTATTTTTACTTGAATCAAATTGGTGCATAATGACATCACTCTGAAAGGAACATCCTCATAGTGAAGCATGGTAGTGGCAGAGTTAAGCTGTGGAGATGTCTTCAGCTGGATGGAAAAGCTGGTCAGAATTGAGTCAAATTCAGATTCAAAAATACTGTATTAATCCCAAAGGGAAATTAAATGTGGTTGTAACTCATTAATTTAGATTATTCCAAGAATTATTGATCAACCTAATCAAAGTCCAGACCAAGATCATTTTATTTGTAAGAAATTGCATCTTTAATATTATGGGTTACTCTGTGTTGGTTTCCCATGAAATGTCATGAGAAGACATATTTTAACTTGTGGTTGGAATTAAATTAGGAAAGAATCAGGTTGTAGACATACTGCATGTTTCCTCTCAGCCTGGTCTTTAATCATAAAAAAAACTTTCTGTGTTTTTCAGGTGCAGGATTTTGGTCTGCAGCATTTGTTTGGAATGAGAAGCCTCCGCCTGCTGTCTCTGGCAGGTATGATTTGTTTCCCTATAAATCCCACAAAAAGGTCCTGCATGATGGAACTGTAAAGTCTAAATGTGAAATGCAATCCGTCTCATAACATACTGTTACAACACAGTGACAGTTTCAACAAATATGTATTTTTTTTTAAATAAAAGTTACACACTACAGCTTTAATCGTTGTTCCTTTTCTCGTTAAAGCTTTTGTGATCGTTTCCAAAAACTAACCTGTTAAATTATGCAGCAGATGCTGAGATCTTTTCTCACGTGAGCTGTGGTGATCCCTGCTCAGCTGCAGTAACCAGCTGATGCTGTTTGATGAGTGTTGTTGTGCATCAGGTGAGGGAGGGGCGGCTGCAGCTGGGCTGACTGTTGTCCTCTGTGCCTCCAGGCTGCCCCCTGCTGACCACCACCGGGCTGTCAGGTCTCATCCAGCTGCAGGAGCTGGAGGAACTGGAGCTGACCAACTGTCCAGGAGCCACGGCCGAGCTCTTCAAGTACTACGCCCAGCACCTGCCCCACTGCATGGTCATCGAGTAAGACGGCCCAGCCCTCATCAGACTGACCGCCGTACTCCAACCTTCCTCCTCAACCCGTCCTCGTCCTTTTCACACCGAGTTGTCCCTGCATCACTCCTCCTCTCCCCTCCCAGCCCATTCCTCACCCGCCCCCCTACGCCCCCCTCCTCAGCCATCTGAACGGACTCCCTCGCTGGCAGGCAGACTGAGAGGCAGGAAGGTCCAGGATGGGACATGCCACGCCCAGAGGCATGGCGCCCCAAGATGGTGGCGTGAAGAGCTTGGTGTGACGTCTTGTCTGACAGCAAGTTTCTTTTTCACAATCAACAGAAGGCTGTTAGTCGGAGGAGAAAGCCTCTCTGTGGACTTGGAAGGAGTTTTTTTAAAAAGGGACGCGGAGGGGAGAGTGTGCACGCCCCACATGCAACAAGGAGGGAAAGAGGAGGCTAAAGACTTTTTGTTCGATGGAGATGAAGATTTTTTTTAGCTGTTTGAACTCATAAGCTCATACACTGCAAACACACTAAAACGTATACTGTATGTAAGTAAAGCAAATATAACTCCTGAAGATCATGAGTGCTGACACGTGTCATCTCTCCTTGTAATATCCCCCTTGTTGCCCGTTTTTTTTTTTTGTTCCTCAGAAGGGATCCAAGGTTTCCTTTCCTCTCGCTCAGTTTCAGACTCTGCATTTCTGGACAGAAAACCACCAAGTAAATAAGGACGGACCATCTTAATATCTCTCTTTTTTTTTCTCCCTGCTTCTGTGTGTGAAGTGTGTGTGTCACTGACTCACAGCTTCCCATCTTCGGGATCACCTTTTACTCCCCCATTTCTGTGTCTTAACTGAAATCCAAAAAAAAAAAAAAAATCTAACAAAACAAACAAAAAAAAGAAACAAATGAGACAAATAAACATAAAAGAAGTCAAAAGAAGATCTGAAAACAACTGTTTACATCAGCTTTTTTTGTGGGGGTACGTGAGGGGTAGTTGCACGCTTATTTGACTTGTTTGGTTCTTGCAATCATCTATGGGCTCCTCTGTTTTCGTATGACGGTGACATGGGGGTGTAGAGACGCTGCAGACGGATCCGCTTCGGGACTTTCAGTGACATTTTTTTTTTTTTGCCACATCTGCACTGCAGCTACTAAACACATTCAGGTAGCAGAGGATTTTCAGTCGAAGAATTTTTTTTCACCCCCTCCAAACTTGAGGTTTGCGTTTCAATGGTTTTGATTTTTTATTTTTTTTTCTCACCTTTTTCTAATCAGAAAACACCTGATGTTAGTGTTATTTTAGAGCATTTGAACTTGTGTGGCTCTGATGCTTCTAGCACCACCGGGGGGGGGGGATGCAGTTTGCAAAGCCAGATTTCTTCAGCAGATGATACGAAGGCTCGGTGAATTCAGTGTTTATTAGAAGAACGTCTCGTCAACAGGCAGAGACTCGCTCTAGAAACCACAATCAGAGGCTGTTTTTTGTTTTTGGCATTAGGCTTTGAAGTGGTAGGAAAAACGAAGGTGAGATGGAATTTGTGTGGTATATATTTCTGTTCTGGATGTTTATGACATGGTTCTGTTACAAAGTGGATAATAGTAAAGTCGATAGTGGAATCTGGCTGTGCTGGTGTGTTCACTGACAAAACAATGAAAAACCAAAATGTTGAACACCAAGTAAGCTCCCAGAAGGAATGAACTGTAATAAATGGTAATAAACATCTAAACAGCCATCAGATATAAATGGACATCACTGATTAAGTTTCCAAACTATAAACTAAAAAGGTTTGAGAAGAAGAGTCCTCTGTTGTGAGTGATTCAATCTAAACCTTAAACTTCACACTTAAGCATGTCAGTATTCACTCTAAGACAAGGCTTCACTCGTACTTTAAAAGAAAAGTAAAGGTACAGAGAAGAATATTTGTCCTGTCTACAGTAGGGCTGAAACATTTAATCAGATTAATTGATTATTGAAGTATTTGTGATTGATTAATCGCTATCTGGCCTTTGGAGTCGTCTCAAAAAAAAGCTCATTTTCTAAAAGAACAACAAACTCAGAGCAGCAATTAAGACAAAATTACCCAAGAAAATGTAGACATTTGCATTTGGATGTTTCGGAAGCAGCAGGCGAATCTTAAAGAGACAGAGACCCAATTTCGAGGCGTTAAATTACAAAGTCAAGTTACTTTGAAGCTATATTTTATATGTAGAGCATTTTTATAACAAATGAAATTAACATAGTTACATGATTGTGCTGTGAAATGGCACTACATGATAAACACATAATACTGGCCCTTTAAGTCTTTATGCTGATTGATTCTGGTTTGATTGAGAAGCGAACTGGAAAGGCTTCTTGCGATGATAAGTGCAGACCTTAGACAGTTTATAAAATCATCTTATAAACACAGAAAATAACCTCCTACAAATGTTCTAACAACAAGGGAGTAAACCCAACATGGCTGGATAAAGAGGTTCAGGGAAAATGTGCATATAGAAGGTAGTGGTGAGTGGGGTCTCTGAGACCACCTAACTCTGACCAGTCATTCCTTGTGGGTTCTGACCACGGTGCCTAACTGTTTTAAAGAGTTAGAGTCTGAGCCAGAAGGCCCTGTTGCTGGTAACGAAACACAGCCGAGGTCATGAATCCATATCACTAAAGCTTTGAGTCTCCCAGACATTAGACATGCTCAAATATATCTGCTTCAAGGCAAAAAAGGAAAAGCAGTAACGTTTCCTGTTACTCTGGGAGTCGGCCATCTTGGTTTCTGGACGGGTCCACCGGCGCTCCTCTGTCCTCCCTGATGGAGTCAGACCAGAGTCGGGCAGCAGAGTGCTGAGCGCCGTGAAGCAGGGTGGGGGCCCAACCCCACGCATGTTTTTGCCTGGAGACAGCTAATTCTAGACGTTCAGCATCTCATTGGTGTACAGACATTTATTTATTTATTCATGTATTTATTTATTTAAATAAATGTGTGTCTTATTTTTAGAATTTATTTATTGAAAATGGCATTTTTCGACTCTTTTGTTTCAGCTTTTGCTTCAAGTGTGACCTTAATTGAGCTTATTCAATAATTGCTGTTTACTATTATTATCGTTAACAATATAATTATTATTATTATTTATGTTGTGACATTTCAGGCCCTGTTAAGCAAAATGATCTAAACTCTTGGACGCCATTGACATCATGACCAGTAACTTCAAGTTTTTAAATCTTCATAAAATACTGAAGTATATTTTCCTCTGTGCAAGTCTGTGTCGACTTTGTATTGCTGTTTGCTCCCTGCGGAATAATGGGATCTTCAGCTGTGATGTTATATTTACTGTCATTGTGCTGAATGTGGCAGCAAAAATACAGAGTGTGATATACATAAAAACTTATAATGTGTTACTTCAACCTCTGCCATGGCTGAGCAATGTTTACATTGTCTAATTTTTAGAAAAGGGGAAGATCTCTGAGGATTCTATGGAAGCTTATTACTGACAAAACTACTGGAGCAAAAAGAAACGTGGGGAAGACCCGGAGATAATCCCGCAATCTGGCTTCAGCGCAACCTTTTACTTTCAGTCCTTGGTTTATTTGGGAACTCAGTAAAGGGATAGTTCACGTTTTTTTTAGGTGCAGTTCAGACAAGATGATATGAGCAGTTAGTATCTTACCTGTAGTAGATAATCCTCTTGACAAATTCATTTGATGTGTAAATCCAGATTATATTGGTTGGGCTGACACTCATGGCTAATCCCAGAAGGGGAAAACTAAAGTGGAGTTCATAATGATTCATGGAGGATTTTAAAATCTTTTCAGGGACCACCATGATTATTTAGACTGGAACTGGACGTGGGGGGCATTGCATCACCACTGGACTTCCTGTGGGAGACAGGGAGAGCTGAACTACAGAGACCAGATCAATATAAAGCACATATACGTGATGGAACACGTTAAAATGGTTAAACTTGTTAAAATTGTTAAAATTCAGGTTTAAATGAGTTTGAGATTTTTTTAAAAATAGGAATCAAATTAATTTGCAACTTTAATTAATTCTTTTTTGTTTAAGACAACATTAGTGAATAGACATGTATGTGAACATAAACAGTCACAAAAGTTGCAACTGTGTTCGTCCATCTCTAAAATAAACAGAATGCCATGGAGTTGTTTTCATGCTCTTCTGCTTCAGGCAGTTCAGCACTGAATTGACTAAGAAAGCAGAACAAAGTTTTTTAACACCAATTATGTTCTAAACCAAATCAGTGTTTGCTGTTTGCTATGCCTTTTAATTTAACACCCTGTGGACTTTACTGAAATTATGTGCAAGCAAATACTGGAGTTGAAAAGTTCATGTCGGTAAAGCCGGTCTTAAGGCTGCATAACAAAAACTGAACTATAGCAGTTAAGCAAACAATTTTTGTTTCAGGCATTGGTTTCCTCACAGCTGGTAAACAGACTGAATTTAAAACTCTACACTAGAGTCACATTCACCCAGGATATTTATACACCAAGGCACATACTGGTAGGCAATTTGGCAGGAAGAAGCTGGAATTGAACCTACAACCTTCTGATCACAAGACAACATCTCTGCCTACAGAGCCATAGGAAGATCATTTGTGATGTGCTGCCTATTGCTGCAATTTCCAATATAAATAACAGAATGGAAACATGACAATAGTTCTAGGTTTATAAAGTACAATTGAGACTTTTTGATTGCACTGAAGGTTCACTTCATCTTGGTACCACTCTGACTAGCCATTAGCTTTAGCCTCCAGGACCATCCGATCTGGGTTCATAATAAATTAAGTCTTTTTGGGATCTATAGCAGGTCGATGGATTTATGTATTAATTGCCTACAGACCTTTCTCACAACAAAAATTCTGAATAATCCTTTGAAGGTACATATAGTAGTAAAATGTTGTGTCTTTAAGGATGACTAATATTTCTGTTTCATCGGCCCTAGCCCGTTCATCCTGTGTTCTCCAACGCTGACTCCCAGTGTGAAACACAACTGTGGGTTGTTTTTTTTCTGTGCTTTCTGTATTTTGCCTTTGATGAGCTTCCACTGAATTCACATGTCTGTTTACATATCATGAGCTCTCATGCACAGTCATTTCGTAGCTGCAAACAACTAACCTTTCTACGGAGCGTCACCCCAGGTCATTTTCTAAGACAAATCATTTCTATTACTGTCTGCAGTCTTTTTGGTCATCTGTCACTATTTTGTTACAACCCTTGTACAGCACAAGTTTAACTAAGCAGTAAAATAAAAACTGACAATTTACTGACATTGTTGAAACTGATAGATGTTTGTGTCTCTGTGTTTTGATGCTGGAGTTGAACTTACTTTGGCTAATGACCACCAGGTGGCAGTGGAGGACCTCTAAAGAAATTCAACTTTTGAATCAGGCAAACTCCAGAGCAACGTTTTTGCTGTGGAATTGCTGATAGTAAGTCACAAAATCAGATCTGTGATGTTGAATTAAACTACAAAAAGTTTAGAAAGTTGATTTGTCTGTTAGAATTAAAATGTTCTGGAGAAATGCAAGAATTTGGTTTTAAATAATAATAAAAATAAATATAGTTTACTTCCACTCATCATGAGGATGATTTCGATTGGAATCCTTTCAAAAAGATTTTTATAAAAAAGAGAACTGACTGCACAGCTTTTACAGGTTCATCTAAAAAATGCAAAAAATATGAAAAAGTTCAATATTCTTTGTCATTCGTTTAAGAAAGCAAAACTATATAAACTCAGAACAAGTAAGTCTGATGCTTCCTTTATTTCTTGTACATTTAAACGTTGCCTTACAGATAAAGCTTTGAAGCCAAACACCAGCTGTCACAGCGCCAGACCAAGATTGCAATATTTTTGTCGTTAACAGAAAAATATGCTAAATAATATTATGATTACATTTTAAATTGGTTAATAAGTAGGGGACAATTCAGACTTTGTTTAGAAAAATAAATGATTTGTGTATCCCTTTCCTGTTTGCCAAACTTAAGGAAAATATGCACATTTGATTCAGTTAAGCAGTTATTTTATTAAATCATAACTGCTTGTCATTAGTGTGACTCTTTGTGCTTCCACTTTCCCCTCAATTATAAATAAATGTGAAGGACAAAAAAATGGATCGTTCTAAACTAAAATAAATTCCGTTTCAAAACATACTAAACATATTTTTCCAAATGGAATTAATTTTCTTTCTAGAAATTTTTGTATAATATTTCTTTTATTAATTAACTACACAGCAGAGCAGGCTGCTATATTCTGCTTTGTCACCTGCGGTAACCTGAGTTGTCAGCCATGTTGGCCTCTAATGCTTTTACCAGTAAACAGAGGGCTAATTGATGTGGACACATTGGTTTGTTTTGCTGCTTCACTATTTAGCAGCCGTCAGCTGATTAACATTTTTCAGTAGAACAAAGTGTTGCCTGGTGTGGAACTTTGCAATCAGGTTAAAATTAAATTAAAAATCACTTTATTTATCCTGGAGGAAAACATGTCTTCTCGCCTCTCTTATCATCCAACTATCTTCAAAGAGTCGTTGTGGACGGTGACGCGGTGAGGAGCAAGGATCTACTTAGCAGTCAGTCCTGCAACAAATCTGAAGAGGCCTCTGACTGAAGGCTGTTAGTGTCATGACAGTCATGTCTGCTAGCAGCTCAATTTCCAGGCAGAAGAGACAATATATTGACAATATACTAACAGAACACAGTGGTTGGGCTTTAAATGAAAATAATATTCAGACCAAACTTTTTAAGTTGCTCTGAAAGATCAGTGTCGTAGCATTAGCACAGCTGGCATGTAGCATCGTTTGGCATTTCTTGTTTTTTCTGTCCCTTTGGCTCATGAGGAAGTTTCTCTGAAAACCCTTTTTATAGGCTACAGAGGGTCACAGGTGGATGCTCCAGCAGAGTTTAATGATTTGGGTAAATGAAATGGGATACTTTATCAATTTTGACACAAATGATTATCTTTGAAATAATTTATTTTTTTGTATCAATAAGATATTGATTACTCTGAGAACCCAACAAGCAACAATGGGGGTGGGGGAGATCCTTACTCACAGATTTAGAAACAGTTCATGTGTGGATAAAATGCTGTTCCAGATCTGAATTCAATTGTGAGTCTGTAAGACCTGAAATTTGATTCATTCAGCTCAATCTGACAAACTTTAGAGACTGAACACAAGACACATCTTGAAGATTTTTTATTTCTAAAACAAACATTTTAATAACCAGGTATCGCTTTTCTTCCCCTTCACAATGACGCACTAATTTATGTTGGTCTGTCATGGTAAATGCCAGTAATTACATTAAACTTTGTAGTTGTAAAGTGACAAAATGTGAAAATGTCCCCCTCTTTCGCAGGGCTCTGCATGTTCTACCATTTATTACATAGATATAAAAAGTTCTGTCTATAAAAAGTAAGTAAATGTATTTTGTGTGTTTGAAGAAAATGACAGATAACTAGTTCAACTTTGTGTTGTGTTTTGTAAAATTGGCCACAGTGTTAAAGGAAACATGAAGTATGTGAAAAGCGACAGCTAATCTTGAAGCAGTGGACAAGATTAACATGTTGAAAAAGGCAGCTCCCTTTATTAAACACTCTTAGTTTTCATGCTACATGTTTCACAGCTATTCAGTCTCAGTAGGAACACAAACACATGGCTTACTAAACACTCATTAAACACTTTCAGAGGATGTTCATTAAGCATGAGACATTTCCTTCTTCTACTGTTCACAGATAGATTTTTCTGACAGAAAGCGTTTGATAATGGATGTTCTTTTAAATTTTTCTCCACCAGGTGGCGCACTGAGCAAAGCTGCACCTGAATGTCCACTCGTGTTGAAAAGAACCGAAATGAACCAGCAAGAACAAGGATTTGTTTTAAAAACATTTCTGTAAAAGTTACACTTTAAATTGAAACACAAATGAAAATTGAGAATGTTTTGTGATATTTTGGCACTTTAATGTGGACATCAAGCTTTAAAGAAGCTTTAAAGCTACAGAATGTAACTGTTATGAAAAAACAAATTTTATTTATATATATGTGTGTGTGTGTGTGTGTGTGTGTGTGTGTGTGTGTGTGTGTGTGTGTTTACACATATATGTCTAAACTGTCACTTTGTCATGACAGTATAGCTTCAGGCAAATAATCTGTGAAAAAATTCAGCTCTGCTGCAAACTAGAAACAATCAATCAGAGCCAGGAGGAGGGTCTTAGCGTTGTCAATCATGCTGGTGTACAGATTCTTCTGCTATGATGCAGCTTCTCCCCATCAGTAGAGCCTGTTGTGAATGCTAAGGCTGTCATGGCCACCAATGATGACACATAAACAGCAACTAGTTTACAAGAACGATTGACAGCGCTAAGCCCCTCCTCCTGGCTCTGACTGGTTCATTTTGGTCAGTTCATTTCGTGGCAATAGCAGCACAGAGAGGATCGATCTTTTCATAGATTATCTGTCTCATGCAAACTGTCAGGACATGGTGGCAGGTTAAACAAATATGTCAAAAAGATATATATTTTATAAAAGTTACATACTGCAGCTTTAACAGAAACACTACTTTGGGCTTAACACATTGAACACCACGTCAGAGTCGGTTCCCAGATCTGTCCAGTGTGGACATGGAATCCTACAAATCAACACAGCTAGTAAATGATGACAATATTAAGGAAACCGAATCCTATAGTTAAATCTTTTAGTTCGTATACTCTACAGTCAGTTAGCGCTATCGTTATCAGATCAAATTTATGAAATAATGGCAGCCCTAAAAAAAAAAAAATCGCAGCTCAAACCACACATGCAGGTAATTAATGGCATAATTTGTCAGATTAAAAACTCAGTGGAGAAAAAGGTAAGTTCTTGGCACAGCAGGGGCTTCTAACTAACGCTTTATTCACCTGTTTTACACGCTGCAACATCTGAACTGAGCATAATTCCACACTGCAAGGCCAACATGTCTGTGGACATCATAACAAAGTGTGTGTTCACCCGGAGGCTGAACTACAGCCTCCATTAATCCCGCTTCTGTTCGTCCTCCCAGGTCGTCACTGTGACCTCCCTGTCCAACACATCTAGCTGCAATTCATTTCCTCTATCTTACATCAAAACCTCCCACATTTCTCAGACAAAGTATTCCACTACTTGGTCCCCATTGTTTAAAAAAAAAAAAAGAAGAAAAGATTTCTCCCGTGTTTCACCGTGACATGAGGGCAGAGCCTCACGCCTGTGAGCGCTCAGGAGGACAAGGAGGACGACGGACGGATCAGAGCTGGCTCTCTGTCTCACATGTGTCGGTCCCGTTCTTCAGGGGCCAGCTGGACAGAACCAACTCGCTGAAGTTCATGTTGCTCTCGTTGAGTCGTCGCACACGGTACGACTCATAGTGGATGTTGTGGGTCACGTCCTTCAGGTCCTGCAGGTGAGACCTGAGCAGAAAACAGTCGGTGAGAATTTCTCAGCTCAGTGGCTCTGATACAAACTGGTTTCCAGTGAAAAGTGCTGATGTGGAAGAAAAAAAAAATTCCTACAGGAAACATCTGAAGCCACAGTCATACTGAAGAGTTCAGCAGGTAGCCCTTAACCCAGGCCCACATGTTCATGTTTTAATATGTGTGCTAAAAATGTGTTCCTCAGCAATGGTTATTCAAGCATTTTAGTAATGCTTGAATAACCAAGCATTACTAAAATGTAGTGTTTAATAAAGGCTGGTGAAAACCAGCTCCTTCTTCTTCGTCCAGAAGGTCTGGACTTTTAGCTACTGAGAAACGATTGCTTCGTGGAGGCGTGGATTCGTTTGAGATTTTAAATTTTACCCAATCACAAATGTTTGTCCGTGACGTATGTAACGCTCCGTATCGACGCTATGAAGCTAACCGGAAGTTTCCTGTGCTGTAAACAACCGTCCTCCTCTGGGCATAGAGAAGGGCTGATCTGAACGAAGTGGCTGTTAATGTTAATTCAATATATTGAATTAATATTCAATATATTGAATGTTATTGAACAAAGACTGAATGGCTTCACTCACTTCCTCCGCTGCCATTGCTAAAACTACAGGCAGAGTACAATTATACAGCCGAGCAGAGAATTGAAGTCATTATTCAAAGTTTCTTCTGTTCGCTGATTGACCTGGTAGAAAATCTACCAGAGGGAATCCAAGTAAACGGCAGAAAGCCCAGACTGAGCTTTAGGAGAGATTTGAATCCAGTGGAATAGTGCAGGGATGCATCGACCAAGTTAGATCAATTCTAGCAACATTCACATTTTTTATAGCATTTCGATTGGAGGATCA